CCCAGGCTCAGCAGCCCGAGACTCAGCACCCCCTAGCTCAGTAGCTCCAGGCACAGCACCCTCCGCAGTAGCACCCCCAGGCTCGGCACCCCCTTGCACAGCACCCCTAGGCTCAGCACCCTCCGCAGTAGCACCCCCAGGCTCGGCACCTCCAGGCTCAGCACCTGCAGCAGCACCAGAGTCACCACTAACCTTGACCGGGTCAACGGCATCTACCTGGGACACACCTGAGGGGGCAGGAACCTGAGGGGGGAGAGGGTCTACCGGGGGGGGAACCGGCACAAGGAAGTCCGGTGGGGGGGGGAGGGAAGGAGTACGGTAGCGGAAGAGGCGGTAAAAGGGGACTGCCTCGTCGAACGTGACGTCCTGGGAGGACAGAACACGACGGGAGGAGGGGTGGTAGAACTGCCACCCTGGAGTGTCAGGGGGGAAGCCAAGGAAGACACAAGGAGCAGCACGAGGGGACAGCTTGTCCGCAGACAAGTCGCGGACAAATGCCCGAGATCCCCAGACACGGAACGCAGACGCATCACCGACCTTCCCCGTCCGCAGTAACACTGGGGACATCGCGGGCCAAGAGATCTGGGGTGAAGGTTGAGCTGATGCGCCGCGTACCTCACCGCAAACGGCCACAGAAAATGGGGGGCAGCCGCATGCATCATGGACGTACGAGCGACATCCATGACCATGCCAATGCGGCGCTCAGCAATCCCCTTTTGCTGCGGAGAGTCCGAAAGCGTGAAGTTCTGGCGGATCCCCCGTGCACGGTAGTAGTCTCGCAGGAGGCGAGAGGAGAACTCACCGCCTCTGTCCGAGTGCAGTCGTAGAACAGGAAAGTCCGAGCCGAAGCTCCTCCTGAGCTGGAGACGGGCCTCGCGGATCCAGTCGATCAGCACCTCAGTGACAGCACCCTTGCTGCGCAAGGGGAGGACTGTGGTGTAACGCGAGTAGTCGTCAACCACCAACAGGAAGTAGCGCTCGTGACCCTGCCCATAGACGGGGGCTGGGCCCCACACGTCCATGTGTAGCGTCTGCAGAGGAGCCTCTGTCGGGGGGAACTGGGAGGAGTGAGGGGCAGCCCGGAGGCGCCCCTCGACACAGGGGACACAGGAAGGTCTTGGCCCGGGAGGAAGAGGAGGGAGAGACCGGGGAAGACCAGAGACAAGGACACGGGAAGCCATGCTCCGAAGACGGGGCAAAGAGGGGTGGCCCAGACGGTGGTGCCACAGAAGGGTCTCGTGAGACAGGAGGCAACACGAACAGGGGGCAGACTCAGGACCTGACCGGGACGCAGCAGCAAACACCTGACCCGACGCAGCTACCTGACCAGACGCAGGGACAGGAGGAGACGTAGTGGTCAAGGTGTAGAGGCTCGACCCCGGCCGACGCGAGAACGTGGCCAGGTGCCGGGCGGTGTCAGCGTCCGTGTAGTGGGTCACGCGCTGACGCGCAGGAGTGAACTGGTGAACCCCCGCATCCTGGAGGTCCGCACCACTCACCAAGTTTGTCAAGAACGAGGGAAGGTACAGACCAGACAGGGTGCCCGAGGGAACAGCCGGACACGGGAGGACAGTGGAAAAGCGAGAGAGGACAGGACCCCCAGAGGGGTCTGCAAGGGAGACTGCAACCGGCCGACTAAGCGGCGTGAGGGTAGTGCGGTCTCGAAAGAAGGAGCGAGAAGCCCCGGAGTCAAGTGTGAAAGTGAGGGAAGACAAAGGCAACGTAGTACCTGAGAGCGCAGTCTCACCAGCACCTGAGAGCGCAGACGCACTAGCACCTAGAGCCGCAGCCTCACAAGCACCTGGCGCAGCTGTACCAATGCCCGGGTCGGGCGGGAAACACAGGTAACAGTCACCCTCCTCACTAATAGTCACAGTATACATAGCACGAAGAATAGCATCAAAATCAAGATCAAAGATCGCTACACCAGCCCTAAGAAGCTCATCCCAGCGAGGGATCTCACTAGCCCCGGGGAACTGCTGACGCCAAGCGTCCGTCAGGCGGCCAAAGCAGCGCTGGGTGGGGTGGGCACCCCCACACTGCTCACCCTCGCGGTCGCCAGAGCGAAGGACGTAGGTGCAAGGACCAGTACCACCACCCCTCTGACGGCGAGTGTACCACTCACGGAGCTGCTGGGGCGAAAGGCTGTCGGGCGAACGCTGCTGCTGCTGCTGCTGCGGGCGCTGACCACCACCTCCGCCACTCCTCCGCTGGGTGCCACCCCGACCTGCTCCACCTCCTTCGCCACCACCGCCTCCTCCACCGCCGCCTCCCCCGCTGTCACTGCCACCGCTACCGCCACCCCCGCCACCTCCTCCGCCACCGCCTCCACTACCACCACCACCCCCTCCACGACTCCCGCCGCCACCCCCACTCCCCCCGCCGCCTCCACCGCCACCACCACCGCTCCCTCCAGTCCCACCCGCTCCCTTGCCCCCCTTGCTCCTGCCAGAGCGGCGTCGCCCACTAGGGGCAGACGCCGCGCCAACCGACTCGAGGCCAAGCAGGTCGGCAGCAGCAGCAGAGGCAACAGAGGGAAGCAGGGGGGAAGGGGAGCACCCCTCAAAGATGGGGGTGCGAGGGTCACCACGAGAAGCTCCTACAGCGACGATGCTCTTCTCCGCCGCGAGGAGGGCCTTCTCGAGGACGTCGACGGTGAGGGTGGTGGGACAGACTGCGAGAAAGTGGTCCCTGACTGTGCGAAGAGAGTCAGGGAGGCGCGCGACTACGTAGTAGAGAGTGAAGTACAAGGGGGGGGATTCGTGGCGCAGAATTCAGCAGGAAGCGCTGCGCGGAAGCGAGTGTCACTAGTGCGGAGGTGTGTCATGAGGTCAGCGACAGTGGGAAAGGCAGAGAGGTCAAGAAAGAGGTAGGGAAGCATGAGACGGCTAAGTGTAGCAGAGGCAGGGGAGGAGTAGCGCGCAACTATAGCGTCGTACAAGGACTGAGGACTCTTGTACAGACTAAAGTGCGCGCGCTCAGAGGTAGGGAGGTGGCGACGCACAGCAAGACGTGCAGCAGCATCGCGGGTGGCCCACTGAGAGCGCACAGTGGGGTCAGCGTCAGCAGCAGGGGCAGGAGAGGCGCCAGAAGTGAGGTCAAAGAGAGAGAGACCGTCCGCCCTATCGCACTGCAAGAAGAGCTGGAGGTCGTCAACCCAGACCTCAAAGTCTATGGCCCGACCCTCAGCGTCAAAAGCGAGGACACTAGGGGTAGCCATAGTGACAGACTAGTAGTGCAAGCAGTAGGGCAAGTCGTGCTCACCAGGAACGGGCAGGGCGGCTCGTCGGCTGTGGGGCGGCTCGGCAGCTCCCAGGCGGCTCAGCTGCTGCTGGGCGGCTCGGCTGCTGCTGGGCGGCTCGGCTGCTGCTGGGCGGCTCGGCTGCTGCTGGGCGGCTTGGCTGCTGCTGGGCGGCTTGGCTTCTGCTGGGCGGCTCGGCTGCTGCTGGGCGGCTCGGCTGTTGCTGGGCGGCTCGGCTGCTGCTGGGCGGCTCGGCTGCTGCTGGGCGGCTCGGCTGCTGCTGGGCGGCTCGGCTGCTGCTAGGCGGCCCGGCTGCTGCTGGGCGGCTCGGCTGCTGCTGGGCGGCTCAGCTGCTGCTGGGCGGCTCGGCTGCTGCTGGGCGGCCCGGCTGCTGCTGGGCGGCTCGGCTGCTGCTGGGCGGCTCGGCTGCTGCTGGGCGGCCCGGCTGCTGCAGGTGGGCGGCCCGGCTGCTGCAGGAACGGTGGGGCCGGGGGTAGCAGGGACGGCGGGGCCGCGTAAGAGGCGCGGCGGAGCCGCGGGTAGCAGGCGCGGCGGGGCCGCGGGTAGCAGGTGCGGCAGGAGCCGCGAAAGAGGGGGCGGCGGGGCCGCGTAGCAGGCGCGGCGGAAGCCGCAAAGCAGGGGGCAGCGGGGCCGCGTAGCAGGCGCGGCGGGAGCCGCGAAGTAGGGGGCGGCGGGGCCGCGTAGCAGGCGCGGCGGGAGCCGCGAAGCAGGGGGCGGCGGGGCCGTGTAGCAGGCGCGGCGGAAGCCGCGAAGTAGGGGGCGGCGGGGCCGCGTAGCAGGCGCGGCGGAAGCCGCGAAGCAGGGGGCGGCGGGGCCGCGTAGCAGGCGCGGCGGGAGCCGCGAAGCAGGGGGCGGCGGGGCCGCGTAGCAGGCGCGGCGGAGCCGCGAATCAGGGGGCGGCGGGGCCGCGTAGCAAGCGCGGCGGAGCCGCGAATCAGGGGGGGGGGGCGGCGCGAGGTCGGCGCGACGCGGCCTTAAGGCCCGCGCGACGTGGCCCGGGCTGCGCGCGCGAAAAAAAAGGTCGCGCGCGCGACTCGCGGGCGCGACTCGCGGGGACTAGGGGAGCGCGCCTCGGGGAGGGGAGGGCACGTTCCGGGCAGGAAAAAAATCTCGTTGGTGGGCCTTGAGAAACGGTCCTTAGGAAGGACCCGCTCTATACCATGTTGAGATTAGAGGGAACGAAAGAATGAACTATGAAATGAAGTGAGTACAAATAGGAAACCCTAAGTGGGTTGTACCCCCTATGGGATACCCCACTATAGCCTACACAAGCAAGTAAGCTATAATGTTCTGACACCCAAAGCTTTAATTGTTTTTCCAATTAATTCCAAAACTAGGGTCATGCAATGCAACTCCGGCTTCCACAACCTCACGGAGTGGATGGAACGGCCATGCCGTTTGTTACAATCCAAAGTGGGACTTAGCGAAGGATCGCTCAGGGAGGTTGATCGCAGAGTAGTGTTGCAGCGGAAGTTTGAATCTAGGGTCAGAGTGAATGTAAATGACTGAGTTTATATACCAGACATCGGGTTTATATAAGAATACATTGGGCTTAAATAAGAAAACAGGGGAATACGAAAAGACCTAGACTAGCCATGTACTCTAAGGGGTACAACCAATTGAGGTTAGTACTTGTACTCTGTTTGATCTCAATACAATCATTCCTGCTTGTTAGTTTCTGACAGCGAATGCACCCCGACTTTCACGCCATCATGAAGGGGCTAAAATTTCCACGCCGTCACAACATGTCATTTAGACGAGCAATCTCCGTATCCAAACACGTAGCAGACATTTTCTGCGACTCCACCTCTAGATCCACCTGGCGGGCACCGGCATTTCTGTGTGCACCGCCCAGCGCCACCAGCACGGCCTCCAGCTCGGCTGCAATCACCCCCATGGCCGGCCGCGTGGCGCTCTGCTTAGACGTGCAACGTAGTGCCAGCTGCAACACCGTCAACACCAAGTCATCCCGCGCCTCCATGCGCGTTTGCTTCAGCCATGCCACGACCGCCCTACTGCCGGATTGAGCCAGCTGCTGCTGGACCTGGTGGGGCTCAGCAGCAAAACAGGTTTGTGGGATTGAAACACCATGATTTGAAGGGTGGAGGAGACGATATGTGGATGCGTGAGAGAGAGAAGAGGAATGAAGCGCGGAAACACAACCACACGCCGACATTCTCTCCATCTCCCCACGGACGGACGTACCTAGGGAAGGTTGTGCAGCTGTTGGCCCGCCTCTTCATTGGAAGGAACGTCGAGACAAGTGGTGGTGGCGTGACGGCCCGTCATGAGCTCAAGAATGAGAATGCCAAAGCTGCACACCAGGACACCTCGTGGAGAAATTCAAGGGTGAGGATAAGACACGCCCAACCACAGAAAGGAGCCAGTTGGAGAAATCCTGGTCATGGCTCACCTGTAAACATCAGTGGGGGTGGTGGCCTTATTGGTTGCAGCATAGGAGGGATCCACATAGCCCGGTGTTCCCACCACTCGCGTGCTCTGCAGTGTTGTTCCCTCTCCCTTCCTCACAAGCCCAAAGTCTGAGATCTTAGCCTGCTCTCATGGACAGAAGACAATAGATATGGCCAGAAATGGATGCATGGTAAATTCTATAGAAATCTGTTGTCCACCCATGTGGATGCACTCAAATGTGCAGGCCACCCGTGTGTGCATGCCCGTTCATAGTAGTGCATTTGGTATGAGTCTAGCTGCACGCCTGCACCGCTTGCCTGCATGTTCCCGTCAAGGAGGATGTTGGCGGGCTTGATGTCGCGGTGAACGATGCCGAAGCTGTGGAGATACTCAAAGCCGCGAGCCGCCCCCATCAGCACGCTCACCCGCCGCTCAAAGCTCAGCGGGGACACTGCCTCTACATGGACCACGGGACAGGAATGGAGGTGTGGAGAGAGGAGACCGTGAGAGGTAGGCAAAGCAGGCAAGGAGGTCTGTATGAAGAGGCATACCTGGACGACCCACTGGGTGTGGGGGCATACTTGCAGAGCACGTCCATGCACTGTTAAACTGCACTGCTTTCCCAATCCAATGCACACCTTCTCCAATCCAGTTCGAGAGGTCCCCGTTGGGCATGAGCTCGTAGATGAGGATTTGCTCGACCCTTGTCTTGTCCGTGATCCCAATGGCGAAGCCCAGCAGCTTCACGAGGTTGGGATGGTCTTTTGTGGCCGTCGCACACACCTGCCAGGCAGAACGGTGGGGTCAGTAGGACACAGTTGAATGATATATTTCACATTGCTGAAAACGTGCCACATAAAAATATGGCCCAGTCGTAAAACACCGTAAAGTGATCCATTTGACATGACACGGCTGCCTACCACAATTGTGTGTTTAGTTTATCTGTCTCGCACACCTCGCTCAAACAACGGTGAAGCACAGCGTGATACAGAAGAGGGTGCAGAGAGATTCGTTATGGCTCACTCATTAAAGAATGTAACACGCTCGGACAGGCCATGCATGTGTCATGCTTCTAAATTTCACAGCACAGCGCCAGACACCACAACCCACCGCACAGCACACGCACGCACCTCGGTGTCAAAGTCGGTGGTAACGACCTTGGCTCGCTTCACAACCCACTGAGTGGCATCATCGGTGGGAGAGACGCCGCGGTACCCGTGCCCAGCAGGTTGGCTTCAGACCACCCGTTGGTCGCTTTCATCACCGCCTGCAGTGGATATTCCTGACACACCTGCGCTGCCGCCTTGCTGCTCTGTCAGAGGTCCACTTGTGATCCCCGATCGATAGTAGGGAAGGGTTACAGGCACATTTTCCTGGGGGGTTATAGGCGCACTGACCCGCTACTGAAACAAGCCCTTTTATCCCAATGGTCTAGTGGTTGGGATTCTGAGATGCTCATCAGCGCTGCAAGAAGGAGCAGAATTGGGGGGATTGGGAGGTAGCGATACGATTAAGAGAAGGAAGCACCCTGCCCAGCTCATGACAGTGAAAATTGTGCGCATCCTTGTGGTGAAGCGAAGCGAGAGCTGCTGGAATGGCTGAGAGGCCTCATTGGCGCCCAACCAGGTTGCAAGAAGAGCCCTTGAGAGTTTTCAAAAGGGCAAAGAGAGGAGGCAAGAAAGTGGTGGCAACGGGAGTGGCAAGGGAGGAGGTGACTGGAAGTGGAGCGGCAATGACAGTGGCAATCAAGAGATCCAGAGAGACGGCAGCCACATGACTCACCGGTGCTGTGCCTGGCAAGCAAGGGCAGGGCAGTGTGAGGCGGGACGGGACGCACGTTTGTTAGAGAAGTAGAGGTAGAGCACTACAGCGAGCGCTGCAATGAGAACAGCACCAGCCACGATTGCCGCGATATCCCACCAAGGAAGCGGCTTGCGCTTGTCACCTGCCAACAAAGCAGAGGAATCGAACAGGTTCAACCGATAAGTGATTGACAAAATTGAATACAAGGGGCGGCAGGACACTTGGGTGCACAGCAGGGCAGCTTGGTATAAAATTGGAAACACAATCTCCCCTCATCGACCTCCCTTCCTCTCAAGAACGAAGCTCACATGTGTTACAGAAGCCAGGGCAGGCACGGCAGAAGCCAGAGGACACATTCTGAGGCACACCGCAGCTGGTGGAGCTGTCAGGGCACTTGAGACTCGTGTCGTTGGCGTCACTGTGTGGGGCAAGGGAAGAGATATATATATATTTTTTTTTCGCGCTCATTTTCACTGCTTCAAACTAACAAATTGGCACCCAGTAGAGAAGAGATGCAAATACAGATGAGCAGAGATGACAACAGAGGAGCAGCTCACGATTTCAGCATACACTTGCACCGTTGAGAGCACTTACGAAGGTCAACATTACGACACACAATTTCGTTCGAGCCGAGAAATGGCAGATTTCCAATAAAAAGGAACATATTAAAACTCCTGGTGTGTTTGTTTCCTCATATTTGTAGGGAAAAAATCAGATAGAAATTCCCATCCATGAATTTTTTCTTAAATTTCCAGTAAAACTAAAAGAGAAAACGCAGGCAAAACCTCCCACCTAGCAGCAGTGAGAGCACTTACAGGGTTGTGAGTTGCTTGAGGCCTCCGAGGGATGGTGGGATGGTTCGTTCAAAGTGGTTGAAACTCACGTTCCTGTGGCGTGGTGCATAAGAGGCCAGGGCCCAGGGAGACATGGACGAAGAGAGAGAGAGGTGCCTCAAAAGCTTGGCAATGGCAGTGGGACAGGACAATTTGAAGCAGAGGCGAAGCGGAGGGATGTTCCGCACACGGCGACACGCATGCACACGCGCACGTTGTGTGACACGAGCAATGCGCGCCGCCCGTGCACCGATTTTGGTTCCGGGGCGCTAAGAAAGGTTGTCAGAACAAGTGTCTGTCAGGTGAGAAAAGAGACTTCAACACCAAGGCAAAGAGACGCGCAGCCAATGCAAAGAGATTCAACACAAAAGCAGGGCCAAGGGACTGATAGATACGCCAAGGAAGTGAAGGCTGTGAGGGATTCGGGGATGGCGCCTGTGAGGCCATTATTGGAGATATTCCTGCCGTGACAAGGGCACGGGAGGGCATGGGAGATGCAGAGAGATGCAGTGAACGATGGGGATCGATGCTTACGGAGAGTGGAGGAATGAGGCATGGCATGGGACATGCGGGAATGGGCTTGGAATAGGGAATATAGGGCAGCAGGAATTGAGAGAGGAGGGCAGATGACAGGAAGGCAGATGGTAGGATGCAAGAAAACATTTGCAGATTGATGCAGCCGGTAAAGAAAACATGGGCGACAGAACCGGCGCGACATGGCATGTGCTCTTTCTGCACTTGGAGCAGGAAGGATGCAGAATGCAGCATTGAAGCCCTCCCGTGAGCGGTGCTCACAAGGCAACGACTCATGCAATGGCTTGAGTACCAGCAGCAAGACCTTGGCCCACTCCAACCTTCCTTGTGGCACAGACGGACGGACGGACGGACAGACGGACGCAGGGGAAGGTCCTTGAGGAAGTGTTCACCAAAGAGCTGAGTGCCTGACAAATCCCTCTGCTCGCATGCGATTCCGTCCCCCCACGCACAGCAACCAACATGCGGCCAGCAGCAAAGCATACGGGAGTGTTGGGAATGGGGGCGCATGAGGCAGCGTGTGAGTGAGGCTGCAGCTGCGAATTTGCAACAGGCATGCTGAATGTGCGACAATGTATGCCAGATGTGCGACCATGTATGCTGAATCTGCGACCAGGCATGCCTTATGTGCGACCGCCATCACCATGTGTATGCGAGATCCTCTCCTACCCGCTGAGCCATGCCCACCCACTCACAGCGTTGTGACGCTCCTGAGCGTGTTAACCTCCGCGAGGCTGTCGATCTTCAGTGGATTTGAGCTCAGATTTCTGCCATGCCGTGCACATGTGCACATGAGCCGCGAGCAAGCGGGAGGGAAAGGGGCGACACACGTGGCATTCTTTAAGAGCCTATTCCGTGGAATGGCAGGCAGTGTGTCAGAATGAACAAGCACGGCTGCGGGTAAGCAAGAGTGCGCCCGTGGAAGCCCTTTATTGCGCCAAGTAGGCAGGGCCAAGTCAGCGTGCGGGTGAGAGTGAACGGGAGCGAATGGGAGTGGATGGGAGCGGATGGGAGCGGATGGGAGCGGATGGGAGCGGATGGGAGCGGATGGGAGTGGATGGGAGTGATCAGGGTACAGCAGTGGGAGGGTTCAGGCAAAGTGGCACAGGATGGTTGTGGAGGGAGCACAGCGCCGCATACAGGAGCCTACAGACTCATGCCTCAGCCACACAGCACAGCATGCAGCCACAGGCATGCCCCGCTTGCTGCTGTCTGCATGCACGGAGTATATCCAGACACAGTGGGAGTAGAGGAGGGGAATAGGGAGAGGGAAGCAGAAAGGCGTACAGTTTCTGCAGGTTGTGGTAGTCGATGCTATAAAGAGGTTCGAGTCTTGCTTGAGTACTTGCTTCAATGCGGCATGAAGATGCAGCACCATGGATGGAGTGCAGTTAGCCAAAAAAGAAAGCACGCAAGCAGGCAGATCAGATCAAATCATAGGATACTCAGGCCAGCAAAGGAGCATGCACTGGTCTTGTTAATCGCCCATGTGGGCCTTGCAGGTCCAGGCATATGCTCCTGCAGGCATGGGATGGCTTGCACGCCCATGCATGGGATGGCTTGCACGCCCATGCATGGGATGGCTTGCACGCCCATGCATGGGATGGCCTGCACGCGCATGCATGGGATGGCTTGCACGCCCATGCATGGGATGGCTTGCACGCCCATGCTTGGGATGGCTTGCACGCCCATGCATGGGATGGCTTGCACGCCCATGCATGGGATGGCTTGCACGCCCATGCATGGGATGGCTTGCACGCCCATGCATGTGATGGCTTGCACGCCCATGCATGGGATGGCTTGCACGCCCATGCATGAGATGGCTTGCACGCCCATGCATGGGATGGCTTGCACGCCCATGCATGGGATGGCTTGCACGCCCATGCATGAGATGGCTTGCACGCCCATGCATGGGATGGCTTGCACGCCCATGCATGGGATGGCTTGCACGCCCATGCATGGGATGGCTTGCACGCCCATGCATGAGATGGCTTGCACGCCCATGCATGAGATGGCTTGCACGCCCACGCATGAGACGGCTCACAGTCTAGTTAGCTGAACGAGGTTGGCCAGGCTGAAAGCAAGGGGCACGTTGGGATTACAGTCCACTGACCTGCACACACACACACACACACGCACGCACACACACACACGCACACACACACACACACACACACAGATACAGACACAGACACAGATACACACACACACACTCACACACACACACACACACACACACATACACACAGACACACAGACACACACACACACAGATACACACACACACACACACACACACATACACACACACACACACATACACACACACAGACACCAAGACACACAGACACACACACACATACACAGACACATACACACACACACACATACACACACACACACATACACACACGCACACACGCATTGAACCAATAAAATGCGTAAGTGTGATGCTTGCAAGCATGTGTGCTCCAACTCCTAGGCCATCAGAAAGAACGAAAGTGTGCTAAGCACAGGAAACGCATGCCCCTGACCGCACATCAGCGCCCCACCCCACAAGCCACTCATAGGGCCTTGAGCTGCGTCATGCTGTTTAGTGATTTCGGGTCAGGTAAAGAGTACTGAAATCTCCTGCATGCATGGAGTAAAAAAAGCATTGGTGGTTGACAAGGAGATATGAACACGCGGAGAGGCAATGCTGTTGTTTCAGGTGTTTGCTCTGAGTGTCGCTCCGAGTATCGTTCCAAATGTTGTTGCAAGTGTCGTTCCAATCCAAGTGCAAAACACAAGGCAAGCGTAAACGGAGAGCCTCCATCCATGTTTGTGGTGGTGTGGTGGTGTGGGTGGCCTCTACTGCAGCTCAGAAAGAAGCATTAAGACCTAAGAAACCTAGGCAGTAGGAGTCCGGAAGGCAGTAGATTAAAAGACATTCCAGTGAGCAGCAGTTGAAGGGAGAAGATTTAGCTAAGGAGGAAACAGTTGTAGAAAACCTAGCTAATTCACGTAGGGTTCTGCAAAGTCGAATCTCTTCACTAAGCAGTGGCTAAAACACGGACAAACATGTTTCGGCTGTAGGGAAGCCCCTATCAAGCCTTCATCAGGAAGAGGCACTAGGAATCAGGAAAAGGCACAAGGAGTCAGGAAGAGACACCAGAACAAGGTCACATGGGTTGTAACATGACAAAGCGCCCTTGATAGGAGCACAGCACACACACACTTACAGCTCTGTGAGGCTGGTTAGGCGTGCGACATCGGTTGTGAGAGAAGACGATGTAGAGAGTTGATCGAACCGCCTGGGCAAAGCGGATAGGGGCAAAGCAGATACGGGGAGAGCAGATAGGGGGAGAGCAGATAGGGGGAGAGCAGATAAGGGGAGAGCAGATAGGGGGAGAGCAGATAGGGGGAGAGCAGATAGGGGGAGAGAGCAGATAGGGGGAGAGAGCAGATAGGGGGAGAGAGCAGATAGGGGGAGAGAGCAGATAGGGCAGAGCAAATAGGGGGAAGCAGATAGGGGGAAGAAATGAGAAACGGGGTGTGAGGCAAGGGTACACGAAGCACAAGGAGAAAGGGACTTTGATGCTTCTGGGTTTTTTACTTCACACACGGAGGGCCACGCAGCAAAAGAGAGTATCTGCTCACGATGCTAGAGTATCTGCGTGGCCAGACGATTAGGCACAGCACAGCACAACACAGCATGGTATAGCAGGGCACGGCACAGCACGGCACGGAGGGGCGTGCACGCACATGGAGGTGATCATGCCGTTTGAATCGCATGTGAGGCCTTGGGCTTGCTGGCAGTCGCTCCCCGCCTGCCAGCCTGGGATGACTGCTTTCCACGTCGTCTGCAATCCTGCAGCACCTCGCTTGCCGCGCAGACAGCAACAGCAACCGTGCAAACGAAGGGGGAAAGCGGTGAAGGAGGTTTGGCAGTGCGTAGACTGTTGATGAAGGGCGGTTTAGGTAGGTGGTGGTGGTGAGCCGAAGGGCAGGGTTTGTCCCCAAAAGAAAAGCACGGACTTGGAAGAATGGGTCTAGTGAATCTTCATTCACAGGTCTTTTCATAGCCGCCTGGCCAGCCAGGTGGCTCGCTGGCTGGCTGACAGGCTGACTGACTGGCCGGGTGGCGGGTTGGCTCTGGTACAAGCGTGGCCATCGGCCTGGGCCCACCATGCAAGCCGGCTAAGGTCACCGTGTCGTCAACATTTTGAGGTCGGAGCGTCTGATAGCGCACAGCAGGGCATGAGGTGAGCGACCACGGCACCTCGCGACCAACGTGTCAGAATGTTATTCTTATGTTCTAGCCTGTAGTGGGGTGCTCTATAGCGAGTACAACCCTTCTAGGGTTTGCTATTTGTATCCCCATTTCTGCTAGTTCAATCCTCTTTCTTCCTTCTAATTTTGTCATGCTATCAGAGCAGGTCGATCCCCTTGGATCGATCCTGTGGGTGGGTTACCACCTCGCTTCCGCTGCTACTTTTTTTACTCCCGCCGTGCGCCCCGAGGCGCGCGGCGGTTTTATGCCCGCCGTGCGCCCTAAGGCGCGCGGCGGTTCTCTGCCCGCTGTGCGCCCCGAGGCGCGCGGCGGGCTTCTGCCCCGTCGGTCGCCGCGTCGCCTTCTGGAGGCGTCGCGACGGGCGACGGGGACCCTTCGCGGCCCCGCCCCTCGAAGCGGCCCCGCCCCGACCGTCGCGGCCCCACCCTTCGACACGGCCCTGCCCTCGTCGCGGCCCCGCCCTACAGTCGCGGCCCCGCCCTGCGTCGCGGCCCCACCCCTCGAAGCGGCCCCGCCCTACGTCGCGGCCCCGCCCCGACCGTCGCGGCCCCGCCCCTCGTCGCGGCCCCGCCCCTTGTTGCGGCCCCGCCCTCCGACGCGGCCCTGGCCCCGTCTCCCTACCTGCGACCCTACCAGGCCCGTGGTGGGCCCCCGTTTCACCACACCGCCTCCCCCCCCCCCCCTTTTCTCGTCGTCTGTCGAGGCGACCTGAGGGGGCCGCTTGCGGAGTGGCGGGTATGGGGGTGGCCGGTGTACTTTCCTCCCTTTGCTCCTCCTCCTCCTTTGTCTCCCACTGCTGCAGCTGTCGCTGAGGGGGGTGGTTGTGTGGGAGACTGGGGTTTAGGGTTTAAGGGGGGTGCGTGGGAGTAGAGCTAGCGGTGTAGCAGCGGGTGTGTGTCGGGGGGGTGGGACTGTTTGGGGAAGCTGTATGGAGGTTGCCGTACTCTTGTCCGCAGCACCTGTAGTCCGGGGCGCTGTCCCGGTAGCCCAGTGAGCTAGACTTCTACGCCAGCCGCCCGTGGGTCCGTTGCCCGTCTGCCGCTATTTGAGCCGCGGGGCCTGTTACTCCTGTAGTCCGGGCGCTGTCCGGTAGCCGCTGTGCCCGTCTTCCTCCTGTTGCCCGTGTGTCTGCAGCTTCAGCCGTCGCCTCCTATCTCCTCTCCCCTCACTCTCTCTCCTCCTCCTCACTTGCCCGTTGTGACAACCACTAGCTCTGCTCATAATTGTGAACTCTAAACTATCTCTTCTTGAACTTGTGCTCAGAATGTGTGGTGACATTGTGATCCACCCTGAGCTTGTACTGCTTTGCCTGCTCTGCTGATTACACCCCACTTTGGCTATGGGGGTGTGTCAGAATGTTATTCTTATGTTCTAGCCTGTAGTGGGGTGCTCTATAGCGAGTACAACCCTTCTAGGGTTTGCTATTTGTATCCCCATTTCTGCTAGTTCAATCCTCTTTCTTCCTTCTAATTTTGTCACAACGCACCTTGCGACCAACGCACCTTGCGACCAACGCACCTTGCGACCAACGCACCTTGCAAGTCTGCAATAGGCACTGCGAGCGACGTGGACGGCAGGCAGCAGCATGCGAGCGCCGACGAGCGCCAAGAGACCGCGACGGAGCCGCGATGCACCGCCATAGCCGGCAGGTTGAGGCGTCCGCCTGACTGCGATAGGAGGGACGACTTGGAGCAGCAGGCTTGGCGGTCTTTTCTAGAAAGCCGCTCCAACTCTTGTTCGGCAACCGACGGATCAAGACCACCGGCCTGCTTGTCGGATTTCTAACTCTACCGCCACGTGGCAGTCGAACGGCCTAAAAAGGACGTTGGGAATCTGCCGTGTGTTGCGTTGAGCTAATTCCATACTGTTATTATCAGGAAGGCGACATCGCGAACTTGGTGGAAGTAGTGAACAAGTTGGAAACGAGTCGTGGGCGTGTAGTTTTCGATTCCTGGTGGGAAAAGATCAACCAGGGGCCGAACAATGCCAGAGGAGTGTTCAAAGTAGGCCCGGTAAATCTCGACCGTAGGATTTCAGCCCAGAGCTGCCCAGCCAACTTGGCGAACAAGCCGAACCGGAAGTAAAAGATATTTGCTAGAAGAACCAAATTGTGTATTCATGTTTTTTACTGAGGGTTTTGACCTCCGTCTACAGCGCGCGCGTCGCCTTCTTCTGGAAGTAAAGTTCGGCAGATCAAATCGTGAGAACGTATAACATATTATATTCTGGGTGATGAATATCACCTACCCGATCGTAGACGCACTGGTAAAAAATATATTACCCATTCGGAAACAGATGCGACTCGGGAGGCATCAACCCTAAATACCAGGAAGTTATCCGTTTTAGGGTTGACCCATCCCGAAAATGCATCCAGGTTCCCTAAGAGTTGTAGTTTTTTTTGGCTGCCCTAAGAGTTTCCAGTAGATTCGGCTCGCGAGCGAAAATGCGATAAAGGAAGACCTGTCAGATTATTATATAGCTGATGCATGTTTGTAGGCTGTAGTGGGGTAGCCCATAGGGGGTACAACCCAATTAGGGTTAGTACTTGTACTGTTTTCTTTCATAGTTCATTCATTCCTCGCTACTGATTTTGAGATGGTATCAGAGCAGGTTCCCTAGTGGGAACTGTTCCTAGGGCCCACCGATCTTTTTTTTCCTGCCCGGAGCGCGCTCAGCCCTAGCCCGAGTCGCGTTTCCCTTTTTTTTACTCTCGCGGCCCGGTCGCGTCGCG